TGCACAGTATTCTTAAGTGAAACTCCTTTGTAAATTCATCATCTAGACATTTTAAACCCTTTTATTTCTGCAGAACAAATTCATGTATTGTATCCTCACTAAATATTGGTGAAATAGATTTACTATGTTTATGTGAAATATGCTTTGCCGTTTAAAGCATTATTCTAAAAGTTAACTATTTTAAATTAGATATAATATTTTCTGTGCTTTGTGTCTATTGTCTCCACCTAAAAATAGCCCTTGATCTGTGACATCTATGCTCTATAATTTCTGATTGGAGCTGTCAATGAAACTACTTTTATCTACTCCCTTCTCTTTGTGCACAACCATTCAAGGAACTTTAGAGTTTCCAGATGTTGTATGTCTAGATGTAAAAAGTGGAAAACGGTGTTATAGGGCAAACCCTTTTTAAGTGCATGCTCTTTGACGCGCAACTTTCCGTTACTATGGTTGTGAGTCTATGTATCCTGAACTTTTTTTGCTAAATAACCCTCGATGAAATTGTTTAGCTCTTTATTGTAAAAGCACATCTTGCTGATTATATAACTCTCTATAAGGACACAGTTTCTTGTCCTGTAAAAATACAATTTACTGCACTTCACTTTGCTCCGATGTTTTCGCCCGAGTACTATACTCAACTCATAATGTAGGTCGAAAATTGCATGTTTTTCTAGAAGATTCTGCCTAAATGTTTGAACGTTAGAGAAACACACTCTGGAACACGCTATAGTTATCGGTATATTTCTATTTACTGATATTCCTATTTACTTTTCTGGACCTATTTATCAGGTACTTATTTCTTGCACTGTTACAATTGATCCAAATCTTGCAGCAGGTCATGGATTCCTTTTTTTAATTACTATGTCACCTAGTACCACCGCTTCGAAGATTCCATAGGAAAATGGTATACAAACAGAGAGAAAGAGATAGAGAGACAGCGAGAGGAGAGAGAGAGAGACAGAGACGTTAGTGATGGTTAAGCTTAATCCCTTTAATCTCTTTTAAAAATGTCACTAATGTCTCAAAATACTTTTTTATGCAAGAAAATATTCTTTGTATATATCGTATGTGAGTATAAGTAGTTATCATTTATTTTCTTACGGACATTTTAATTTTTGACTCAAAAACAACCGCCGTTGAGATAAGACCACTTTAGTCTGATCAATTTCTTATTTTTCACACTTAAAGAGAATATTGTTCGATATAGGTTTTTTTTTTTTTTTTTTTTTTTTTTTTTTTTTTTTTTTAAGTTTAGAAGGTTTACAAATATATATATATATACTCGTATTTATTTTTGAAATTTCTAGTTACTGTTTTTATTTTTTTATTTATAAATACTAGAGGAATGGCAAGTCTAAGATATGACAGAGCTTTAATCGTATAGTTTCATAGGTGGTATCTAATAGACATATAGCAGTTGGATTTATGTTGTTAGATAAGCGTTTTGGAATTTCACTTTTTACGCATGCCTAGATCCTTGTGAATAGCTTCATTGGTAACAAACCAGGTTCGATTGGTAGCGTTCGAGGAACTCTACATTGGACTTACTAGCAGTACCCTAGAGCTGGATCCCGTAGGTCCATATAGCCTTAAGAATAACTTTATAGAGCCGTACTTTTTTTTCTAGACTAAGCTGAGAGTTGCGACCTAACAACCAGTAACGTCGATCAAGATGCCTTCCTAAATATTTGACGTTATCACAAGCGGGAATCTGAGTATTGTTTAGAAACACACCAGGACATTGTTCTCTTCTTAATGTAAAGATGACATGTGTAGACTTTTCTGAATTAACCTTAATTCGCCATTTGTCTAGCCAAGACTGCAAAATGTCCAGTTGAATTTGCAGCAAAGCGGAAGCTTCTACAGGATACTCCCTACAAGCGATAAAAGCGGTATCATCAGAAAAGTTCGATATAGGTGAACGCTGAAATATAATTTTTAATCAAAATTAGAGGGAGATTCAGACGGATTTGGTATTTACCCAAATCCCGAACGTAAAGAGTAATCTAGAAAAAAAAAAAAATTAAATTTGAATTTTTTTTTTTTAAGTGTGTTTTTGAACCTTTTCTTGAGTAGCGGTGGCATAATTTCGGTTGCCAATCGCGCCATTTGTAGTTTCATATTATGGTGGCTGGAATAGCCGAGTGGTTAGCATTGCGTACTGCCAGAAGGCCAGGGTGCGATAAATACGCTTGCCACTAATTTGTGGAGGAGTTTGTCCGAAAATCGTTTCAGGTGTTATAAAGCGACATTAAATATTTATTTATTTATTTTTGACAATAGATACTGTTGATACTCTCATTACGGGAAACACAATTCTGGTTATTCAAAAAAAAGGAAGATATTTGAGCGGCAAATGAATTAACACAAACAAATTTAATTTACGAAATTACCATCATTAAAAGACTTCTAAAATACAATTAATTCGAATCATTTCTGAAGTGACTCATCATGGAAGTGTAAGAATGGGATATGCGCGAGAGTATGAAATAAAAACGGCAATGTCAAGCGCCGGTGATGCAACACAAACGAATTCAAAGTCTGACCTGACGCCAAACAGGTGGCGCTGAATATTTGGTGATGTTGGAAGGGATTTTTCCCGTATGATTCAGGGAATAACAATAAACCGGCTTATTAAAAGCTCTTCAAAAAAAAAAAAAAGCACACAGAATTGATCAATGGAAAGGATTTTGTGTTTCATCATGACAACTCCAGACTACGTATATATACCCTTGATGACCTGAAAAAATTGATGAAGCTTAGTTGGAAAACTTTCATGCAACCACCATGTTGCTCACACTTTGCAACATATGACCACCATTAGCGGTCTGTGCAAAACTTTCTTGGCGGTACACGGTACAAAACCAAGAACTAATAAAAGTCATTTGGTCAAGTTCTTGGGAGATAATACCACACTAAATATTTAGAACTCAGTAAAAAAGATTTTATTCTTTGTTAATTATAAATTTTTTTTTGGCTTAAATTTTTTAGTGAGCTAAAGGCCTGGTTTGTTTGTATGAATTGAATATTTTCGTTATACAGTAAAGAAAAATGGTTGAAGTTACAGCTGTTTCGGAGATAAAAAATATATCCTCATTAGACTTTTTATGGCATGTGATCTATTGTTGTGTTATTCAAATCATTTTATTTCTTTGCTGTGAACAAAAATCTGCACTTCATACAATGAAACCAAGCCTTTAGTTTACTTATTATGAGAATAAACAACTATGAATATAAATATTTTTATTTGGTTCATCGATCTTTCTATCCAGAGTATTTGACTAATATATTCCGTTTAACTCATATCTAATGTTGCGTTTGAACAATTCTAAAATATTTCGAAAGAAATATAAACTTACAAGTTCGAACCGCAAATAATGATTATCTACGTTTTGCTGTGAATAAAACCATACACTTAGAAAAGCTGCATAAACATACGCCTAAGAGGCTGCAATTTACGCACATCACATCTGATGTTAAAGTTTTACTTAAACTCCAATTGTTGGGCATCCGTGGTAGCCGAGTGGTTAGCATTGCGTACTGCTATTCGGGTGGTTTGGATTCAAATCCCGGTGCGACCAACATCCAAAAGTTAAAGAAAATCAATTTTCTGATTGCGGTCGCTCCTCGGCAGGGAATGTCAACTCCTTCGAGTGTATTTCTGACATGAAACAAAGGCTTTTTTAAAAAACATCGGCCGTTTGGAGGGGCTGAATATCTTAGAAGGAGCTCGGCCACAAATCACTCGAGCCGTTATAAAACGTATAGTATAATTCTTGCTAATTTGGTTGTTTTCCAGCTAATTTTGGCTGCTTTTTACGCTGTTTGCCTAGAAAAATTTAATATTAGCTTTGACTTTTTTTCAGCATTCCGATCTAAGGAGGTTGTTGGTTGTTGGTGAAGGAACATCAAAAGCATGTTTTCGTAGCAGAAAGCAGCTCTTCTGTTCGTTCGTTTCGTTCCTATAAAATATGTAATATACAACACAATACACAAAAACGAAAAATTGCCCAAAAACCACCAGAGTACTCACGCTCCACGCAATTAAATTGGTTTATGCAATATATATTTTTTTTCAATACATTTATCGCAGGTGCCAATTATGTCGCTTCGAATAATTTCAAATAATTTCAGCGAATTAACGTCTTTGAAAGTTATGAAGGACGGCAGCTGGAGCAAGATGAAATATTTTGTAGACATGTAATGTAGTAAGAGTTCTGATTATTAATGTGATTAATTAAGTAATTATTTCTTAATTACTATTTCATATACTGGTCAAGTAACAAGTCATCCATTATTTTAGCTTTAAGCCCAAGCTAAACTAAATGGAAATTTCCTCCAAAAATGTCTCTCTATGGTCGGTACTGCAGCAATTATAGACAAATAAAATTAAAAAAGGGGGAAATTGTTTTTTGCAAATTATTATTTTTTTAACGTCTACTTACCCATCAAAACTTTGAATTATAAATATTCTTTTGAAATTAATAAAATTTGTTGAAAAACACGTTTTTGGAGCATATATATAGCATATTTTCTCTTTGCTGGTGTGTATCTTTGACACTTCTCCCATTATCTTTTCCACTACGAAATATCTTCTTTCTAATGTAAGTTAATAGATTAAATTTTATTAAAAAAAATATCCGATATTTATTTGTATTATGTATAATTTAAGCTATATTTTGACGTTATTAGGACAATGATTATGGAGTTTAGGAATTAATTTTATTTGCTTAAAATTGACGGTTTCATCAATTATGTTTTAAAAGCCAGAATTACTTAATTTTGAGCCTGATAATCATTTTTTAATTTTTTTAAACTCTAAATAATCTTTAAATATTTTATTGACTTATGCATTTTATAAATTACATTTAGTGAGTTTTTCATGAATTATTTAGTTTATGCTGTATATTTTCCTTTGTCGTGTCATATATTCATTGTAATATTTTGGAACTAGTATATTTTCAAATAAATACTAACTTGCTCCTTCTCCTCTCTTGCAGCGCAATGTGATGTCAAACAATCATCAGCTTCCACAATACAACAAAATATGCTGCAACAAAAGATTATCATGGCGTTATTGTTGGCGTTGTCAATTGTTTTAGGCATTCCGTCAATAAATGCATTTTTCTAAAACATAAATGAGAAGTTAGGAGCGCACAAGTAGCTTCATTAAAGCATTAAATAAAGTACACAAACAAATAATACAATAAAATAAAATCCTGCTGTTGGATATTTAAAAGTAAGAAAAAGTGAAAACAATTGTAATAAAGTTATTTATTACTAACTAAACAAACAAATACAAAACAGCGCATAGACTACGGCACACATACACAAACGAAACATATACATATAAATAAAATCTTATGCAGAAATGAGCACAAAAAATTGAAATTTGTAATCAGAATTGTAGGAAGGGTAATTGAGCGTAAGATACTGCGTTGAGGTGTCGTAAGGATATTAAGTGTCGATTTCAATTTGACATACAATATAATTAACAATTAGCGAGTTGAAGCTGGATAGTATTTGAAAACGCTGCCACACCCACACAAAAGCACATTTATACACATACACACACTTTAGCGCAGCGTTGCACTTCACTCCTGCAAACCCAAATTTTATGTAACTTGGCGAAACCAACCCAACTAGAAAAAAAAAGTTTGTTTTTGTACGCCGAAATGGCCAATTTAAATCATTGAAGGCAAATTGTGACAATTGAGAGAAACAAAAAAAAAAAACAAAGATATAAAAATTGGACAACCATAACTATAGTTTTTTACAATCTAAAAAAATTTTAAATACGATGAAAAATGAATAATGAAAAAAGTAAAATTATCGACGACGAAATAAATTATCGAATATTTGCAAAATATTAACGATTTTATACCTAAATCAATGAGATTAAGCGATAAAAAATTATTTGTATCCTTGAAATATTTGAGCGCTCAGGTAAGCCTCTCGGCGCTTCATGGAATGGCAGAGATTAATGGACAATTTATGAAAATAGTTGAAGATTTCAAACCAAAATATTTAAAAATAGTACGCAAAAAGTTTTTGTTTCTCTAACTATATTTATATAAAAGCTACGATGGCCGTGTAAAAGATGACAGTTTCCATTGATTTAGTGTTTTGAAGTTTGCAAGCATTTTCTTTAAAACTTCTTAGTATTCACTTGATTCGACCACAAAAATAAACAATTTTAAAGTTTAGTATTTTTACGTCGTAAATTCAAAATACGATCTAATAAGCACCGTAGCACCGTAAAATGGAAACGGAGAGAATCTGGTATGGCTAACTTGTGGGCATAAGTTTTTAAGCTTTGAAAAATTTCGATAATAAATATACACCATGACAGATTTCGTTTGCATTAAACTGAAATAAAAAAAAAAATTTAAATATCTTTCGAGTTTCTTAGGATGCCATTATATTATATTAGAAAACTTTCCTTTATTTAAGCTTTCGCATCTGGAAGCTTTCATAAGTGTACGATGGGATTCTTTTTAGCCCATTTAAGCTCTTAGTGGTAAATGAAACTTTTAACTATGAGAACTTTCGTTTGTGAAATTATGCAACCAAATGAGAATTTTTTTACCAAAGTCTATATAATGCGTAAAAAGAGACTTACCTGGAGCAGACATTTTTTGAGCCTATAAAATTGGCATATACCAACAAATTTGATGACATTAAAAATATGTTAGCCACTGACATAATGGTTATTTATAAACAATGCAAAAATATTTAAACCAAATAATCATGGATTATTTGAAGCAGCTTTGAAAGTGCATATTATTGAGCTTTTCGTTTAGCACAGTGGCTATAAAACTGCACCGTAGTACATTTTTGTCTGATATTATACTGGAACTGTTTAATTTTAATTTAATTTTTTTATTTACTGTAAGCATTTGCGCTTGACATTAAAGGATTAAGAAGCTTTAACCTTTTTTTATATACCAAATGTTATTTCCAACAAATATTTTGTGCGCAAATGAGCCTTTAGCCTTTATTCCATATAGCTTTCCCTTCAGCTGTGCTGTAGAATCTAAAAAAAAAAATTAATAAAAATAAATAATATATATATAAAATTATGAAAAAAACGGTATCAAACTAAAATATAAAAATTAGTAACCTATTCTTATGGCTGACAAATTAATTGGATTTTAATAGTGTAAAAAAATGAAAAATTTAAACATATAATTTAATTAGGAGCATGTTGCACATTTGTACAACAAACATACACACGCAGACAGAAAATGTTTTAAAATTAATTGAAAATAACACTTTGATGTATATGTGTGTATGTGGTTAAGTGTAAACTAAAAACAAATAATTTAAATACTAATAAATTGTGTTGAGACCTAGAAAATTCAAAAAAAGTAAACATAGAGATGTTAAAAAATATGTTTATTTAAACCAATAAATCAGTGTTTAATCTAATCTGTTGAGATATAAATGCTAAATATTAAGTAAAATATTAATAATAATTAAGAAAAAATATTTAACAAAAAAAAATTAAATATAAAAAGATACATGAAACGAAGTTGAATGATTTATTTGTTAAGCAAACACTTTTTATATAGCAGCTTAAGCGATATATTAAAAGTAAGAAAAATAATTATATAATATATAAATCAATATATAATTATATATATATATATATAAACTTATATATATATACATATATATTAATTTAAAAAAATATATATAACACAAAACATATCAGTATATTATTGTAATGACTATTATCATTATTATAATTATTATTATTGAACAACAAGACGAAATTATTACTATGAATTTGTACTCAAAAGTTTTATAAAATTGGCCCTTATATTAAAAAATAAAATTAAAAATTAATATACATATATATATACTGTTACAAGTTTAAAATTGTAACAAAATGATAGGAGTAAAATATATTATGCAAAAAAATTGCACACACACATACAACATTGAATTAGCGCATTATAACGGTATATCTGTGTCTCTATAAGATCACAAAAAATCATGTTAACATCACCAACACGATCACAAACAAGTAAATAAAGGCGTACCAGTCCCAAAAAAATAATATATAAAAAAATAAACAAAAAAAATTAAAAAAATAAATGATTTAATTGTAATTTTTTTGTATAATTATACGCATTACTGTAAGCACATAGCAAATGCATAATAAAGAGAAGCAAAAAGAAATCATATTGTAAGCATGTCCCGAAAAAAGTTTTAGCTACAAAAATGCATCGCATGTAGAAATGAATGTTTGCTCTATGCACTCGTACATACATATATTAAATGATATATAAACAAAATACATAGCAACACACACAGATGTTTAAATGTGCATGTGTATGTCATAAAATTGTGTTAATTAATCAATGGATTAGTTAATTATAATTATTAATTATTATTATATTTATATATATATATATATACATATATACACTATTATATAGTATATTAATATATTAAAACGCATATCAATTATATAAATACTTTCTAAACGAAACGAGGGCATTCTGAAATACTGAAAGATATTATATATTCTTAAGTTAGAAGAAAAAAATAAACTATTTGCACAAAAACACTTAAACCAATAAGTGTTAAATATATATGTATATGTAGAGCATAAAAAAATAAAAACCAACACACACAAACATAAACATAAAATGAATTTAATTGTTAAGCAAGTAAAAACTAAATGGTAAATATATATATATATTCATACGCATAAGTAATTTAAGTAATATATAGGTAAAAAAATAAAATAAAATAAAATAATAATATAAATAAAAATAGAACTAAAAATATTTAAAACAAAATATTGTATTAATAATTGAGCGATGTTCGCTTTCAACTGCAGACACAATACATAGCATACATACAGAGCAAATAAGAGGAAGCCAATTCCAATATATAATATATAATATTATTTCTATTTAAGACGACTCACAATTGGTGCAAGAACATGATATATAGAGGCCCTGAATTAATTAGTAAGCTACAGATTTTCTATTCGAATACTAAATCCTTCGTAAGTAAAAGGTTTTTTATACATAAAAAACGCTGATCTCAAAATTGTGGTTATCAAAAAAAAAAAAAAAATCGTAAAATTATTATTTAGTAGAATATGCCCTTAAAATTCTTTCAAAAATGAAAATATAAAATAATTTACAAACGTACATAATACAAAATAATTTAAATTATAGTACGCAATTTTTGAAGGCACTTGCGACATGCAGGAGGATCACCACACAGGCTCAATTGAAAATAAATAAATACAAAAGCCTCGATTTCAGTTTGAGGGAAGAAATTTATATGTAATATTTTAAATGAATGTTCGTCGCTATTTCCAACAGCTAGAAATGTCTTTCGAAGGAAATATACTCCATAGGTTTGATTGATTAGTTGATAACTGGTATTCTTCTGCAGTAAAACCCAGTTTTTAAAAGCTTGCTACGTTTTTTTTTTATAGTTTATAGCTTGTCTGTTATCTTTGAAAAGTTTCTAACGGCAGTGAATTCATCAGTAATAATTGTACTAATTTTTAATGCTAGGTTTTGCTCATACCATCGTTCGCTTAGAATTTTGAATTATTAAAAAATTGGTATTTATTAACCTAGACAAAGTACAAATAATTTTTTGTTTGGCCAAATAAGCATAGAAGTAAAAGAAAACATTTTTTTTTAAATGTTATTTATGTATGTAACGAAATTTCGAAATACGTTTTAATAAGCTTAACTTCTTGGTATCACCATAAAGAAATGGAAAAAACTCAAGCATATCTAACCTGAGTTAATAAGTTTTTTAGCTTTGAAATTTGCGGAGTTTCAAATATAATAACTGTTGGGAATGAAATTCATGAAAGCCTTATTTGCAATAAATTTAAATAATTATTTCAATTGCTGTCAAGTTTTTAGGGTTTCATGTAGGTGTCATTATATATTATATCTGAAAACTATTGTACACAACAGCTTTTATTTATGGAAGTTTTCGTGTATGGAGGATTTGATTTATGGAAGCGTTTGTATATGGAAGCTTTTATATAATATATCAACTTTTGATATACTAAAGACTTACGATCACTTCTCATAATTTTTTTTCGTTACTTCAAATCCTTGCTACCGACAACAATACTTTCAATCCATCATAAGGAAAGTGGTGTTGCAAACTAAGGTGGTTGAGAGTTTTAATAGGAAATGGGAACTTAGCTTTATTGGCATAGCTGCTCCTCACACGATTATAGCTGAGGTCAATTAACTTATTTAGCTTATGATTTTTGCTAAATATTAGAAAATTGGTTTGTTATTGAATCAATTCTATTCATAAAATAATTCATTCAGTAAATATTTTCAAGAAACGCGGTTTGCAGAAGATTTAAGGGTTATTACAAATTAATTCCAATGTCTAAACCCGTTCTGAGTTTCATGGACACTTCTGTCAGCCATTATCTGCTATCCTCCTCAGCCGATACGGTTTCTTCTATTGTATATAGCGAAGTGCTGCCATTTTCACCCCTCAGTGCATCTACTTTAAGTTAACAGTCTGGTAATTAACACTTTCATGATCCTTTATTGGGAATATTTTATTAGGAAAAAATAAAACACTATCACTTTAAATTTTTAATTTATTATTAATAGTATATTAGAGTGTAGAAAAAATATATTTTTTCTTTAGTTTTTTGAAATTGCTTATTTTGTCTCACTGAAGAAAGCGTCTCACAATAAAAAGGAGGTGTCTGTCCCCGGTGATTTGGTCGCTTGAGGACATTCGAAATAAAAATATCACATAGATTGTTATTCTGTGAGCTTGCCATTCTGGTTAGAAGGAATATTAACTTCGTTGAAAAATAAAAAAACAAGGACTACTTCGAAAAAAGGGTATTTTTTCAGACCAGATTAGTTGATTCCAAAAATATACCTTCCTAATAATTCGACTTTGCTCTGCCTGTCTGATGGAATATGATGGAACCTACATCTAAGTGCATAAGGCTTTGCTTGTGCGATGGCCATAAAAATACGTGTATGTAGGAACAGATTGAAAAACACAAACATTCGAATACCCTTTTTATTTGAGTTTCCTTTAACTTCTGAAATATATTTATGTATAAATCTATTTTTTTTTTAAATAGCCCCAATACTGCACTTGCTTGTCGCTGCATAAGCAAAAACTGCGTACGAGTAACTTATCCGAATTAATAAATATTATGCTATAAAATTATGTTAAAAATATGTACATTTTTATACATAAGAAAGTTAATGAAACATATATTACGTCTTTTATTAGAAACTTGAATTCCGAACAAAATTAGGTAACAAATTTTTTTCTAGTAAATAAATTACTAGAAATTGAATTATTTACTTTCTCCTGAATGAGTAAAAATTTAAGAATACAAATTTATACCAAAACTTTATTTATTTACTATTTGTTACTATACAAAGTTTTTCACAAAAGCAAAACTATAATAAAAAATATAACTAAAAAAGCATAATAAAACAATTATTTTAGGAAAACATAAAAAGTAATATTAGAACACTAGATAAATACATTATGTATTGCAACGTCATATTAACGTTGCAATACATAGCGACAGCAGCCTTTATACATATTCAAAAAACACCGTATACACACACACGCTTAGCGCCTCCGTTGTGTGTGTGTGTGGTTTCTCTGTGTTGCTGATATTATTGGGTGGCTATTTTTCCAATGAAAAACATGCATACATATATAATGCATTAATATATACATAGATTCATGTATTTAGTTTATAACTAATTGTGGTAAAAATTTTAAAATAAGCCAGTAGTGTTGAAAAACGCCTTAATTTAAATAAGCTGTTGCCATAATAAACTAAAATTCCTAAAAAAAAATTCAAAATTCTTAGAATATGAAAAATTTATTTAGTTTTGACTAACTTTTTTTATTAAGTGCTGCAATATTTTTATTACTGCTTGATTCTTTTATTTATTTATTTTTTTTTTTTGAATTTATACTTATTTATGATCTTTGCCTTGCTGCCGTATTTTGTTAGGTTTTGTGGCTCAAACCAACAACAAAAATTGGCAGTGGGATTTACTGACATAAGCGTAATTTTTCTTTACTTTGACTTTCATTCTTTTTCTTTTATTTTGAAGTGTTAATTAAGTTCTTATTCTCAGATTTTTCGACTAAAAATATTAAAACATGGAATTTATTTCACTCAAAACTCTTTTGGATTAATTGGATGTATTAAAGTTATTTTTCTATATACAGTTTTACGTATGAAATTATTTATTAATTATATATTACTTTTT